AATTCTGACAGCCATCAAAAGTCTTAACCCATCAAAAGCATTGGGACATTACAGTTTTTCTGGACATCATTATTGGAAATATGCTGAGCTTTTGACTCCCCATTTAAGTTCCTTTTTTATGAATCTGAGAAAGGGTACCTCTGTATTGCCACATGAAAACAATGCATTCATCCATGCCATCCCCAAACCAGGCAAGGACCATCGTGATTGTACGAACTCCAAATTTCACTGATAAATGTGGATCTCAAAATAATGACAAATTTTAGCTACCCATTTGAACACCTTCTTGCCAAAATACATCCACCCCAACTAAGCGGGGTTTATACCAAACAGGCAGGAACCATATCAAACCAGATAACTAATCAACATTATTTCAGCTTTGCATTCCAATTGAGACGAGTGTGGAAAAAGAGGAGGCATGTTGTCTTTAGACCTTCATAAGGCCTTTGATCCCTTATCATGGGAATACCTTTTTTACCTTGGAACACTATGGGTTTGGCAACAAATTCCTCCAAATACTACGGTCAATATATAGCGAACCCAGGGCTCAACTGTTAGAGGGTATACCTCCCAATGCATTAATATACATACAGGTCCCAGACAGGGCTGCTCCCTATCCCCATTCTTATTTATATTGGCCTTAGAGCCCTTAGCAAGTAAGATTCGAAGCTCACCGGATATACAAGGGGTTTACTGTGGGGATCGGGAACACAAATGTGCCATGCTTGTGGATGACATCCTGATGATTCCCTTTATCTTCAATTACCTCAATCCCTAATTTACTCTTAGAGTGGTTGACTGTAAGGCCTGAAATGGATGTAAAGCATCCTAAGACTAAGTCCTTAGTGCTTAATATATCCTTAGAAGTCCACACAGTCCATACCTTGCAAAATTCATTCTCTTTCAATGGCAAATCAGAAGCCCTTCCCTACCTGGGCATTTTCCTAACCCCCTCTCTTCATACTTTGTACCAAAAAAACAAAATAAAAAAAAAAAATATATCCTCTACTTTTTAAAAAATTATTAGAAGACATCAATAGATGGACTGCCAATCCCCCTTCATGGTTCAGTCAATTGTACTCGATATAAAATGAATATCTTACCGATGATAATATATTGGTTCAGAACTCTGCCTGTTTCGATCAAAATATCGGACAAAATTGTTTCAACAAAAGGTTGTTGAAATTTATATGTGGGAAATAAGAGACCCAGGATGATTAGGCACACACTATACACGCCTAAATTGAGGGGGGGATTGGAAATACCCGACCTGGTCAAATATTATCAAGCTGCACGCCTGCCACAGTTGATCCACTTTTACACACAGCAATCTTATCTGTTTTGGATGATTTTGGAATCTTCTCTCTATCCTTCCAAGGCAATTAACCATTTGATATGGTTGCGGGCAAATCGGACAAAAAAGGACAGATCGGTAATACTGTCTACAACTCTGTCATTTTCATTGAGTTTATGGGACAGATTATCAACTACTCATAAATTTAAATCTCTCTAGGTTTCATTGGCCCCATTGCTTGGTAAACCCGATTTCACCCAGAGTCTCCATCTTCAAAACTTTGCTTGGTGGACCAAGAAGGGCCTGCTATGGACTGCAGACCTCTGTGACCATAGAGGCATCTTGTCGAAACAATTCTTGCAGGAAAAATTTCAGCTTCCTAATTCAGAATTCTATCGTTTTACTCAAATAATGCATTTCTTAGCTATTTTGAACCGAACCTCTGATTTAACACCTTCTATTACAATGGAATATGTATGCAGGAACTTCAACAAACACACTAGTCATGCAACCAAAATCTATAAAATCTTGACATTGGAAGTGGTGGATTGATGTAAAATGGCACAATATCCATTCAAAACATACATCAGCACTTCACTGATTGAAGCAAATCATAAAGTTCTCCTAAGATGGTACATGGTACCGGTGAGATTGGCGTCTTGTTTCCCGGGGACCCTCCCGCTGTGTTCAGAGGTTGAGGCCAGGAAGGCATGATGTTCCACACTTCGTGGACTTGCCCAAAAAAAAGGAAATTTTGGATCAATACTTATAACTTTATTTATTCTTTTACCCAGGTGAACCTCAATCAAAATCGCCACTACAAGCCTTACTGGGACATGAGAAGGCTCATAGCGTTTATATTTGTAGCTGCTAGATTCTCCATTGCCATTGCCAGGTCTTGGAAATGTCCTATGATCTCATTTAATCTATTGAAGTCCAAGCTATCTTGGATCATGGTTAATGAACACCTTTCAGCGATTTTGAAAGACAAACTTGATTTCTTTGATAGAATCTTGCATCCCTGGATTAAAAATCTATTGGATGCCTCATAAGATGCAATTGTTTTTGTTAGTCTTACCTGGACAGGGTGCACTTCTTTCCTTATTCTTTACTTTTTTGTTATCTACCATTTCTTTCTACTTTCTTTTTCTCATTTTTTTTCCCCACATGTTGTGAGGTACAGTTTCAAGAAAAAGTATGTGAACCCCTTGGGATTACGTGGAGTTTTGCATGAAATGGGCATAAAATGTGCTCTGAATGTCATCTAAGTCACAACAATAGAAGAACACAGTCTGCTGAACATAATACTACACAAACATTAGATGTTGCCATGGCTTAATTGCACATAACATGTAAACATTCACAGTGCAGGGAGGAAAAAGTATGTGAACCTTTGGACTTAATAACTGGTTGACCCTCCTTTGGCAGCAATAACCTCAACCAAACGTTTCCTGTAGTTGCAGATCAGACCTGCACAACGATCTGGAGTAATTTTGGACCACTCCTCTTCACAAAACTGTTTCAGTGTAGCAATATTCTTGGGATGTCTGGTGTGAATCGCTCTCTTAAGGTCATGCCACAGCATTTCAATCGGGTTGAGGTCAGGACTCTGACTGGGCCACTCCAGAAGGCGTATTCTGTGCTGTTGCAGCCATTGTTTTGTTGAATTACTTGTATGCTTTGGGTCATTGTCCTGTTGCATCACCCATACTCTGCGGAGCTTCAGTTGGCGGACAGATGGTCGTACGTTTTCCTGTAAAATGTCTTGATAAACTCTGGAATTCATTTTCCCATCAATGACAACAATCCGTCCAGGCCATGAGGCAGCAAAGCAGCCCCAAACCATGATGCTCCCTCCGCCATGTTTTACAGTGGGGATGAGGTTTTGATGTTGGTGTGCTGTGCCTTTTTTTCTCCACACATAGTGTTGTGTGTTCTTCCCAAACAACTCAATCTTGGTTTCATCTGTCCACAGTATATTTTGCCAGTAGTGCTGTGGAACATCCAGGTGCTCTTTTGCAAACTTCAAACGTGCTGCAATATTCTTTTTGGACAGCAATAGCTTCCTCCGTGGTGTCCTCCCATGTACTCCATTCTTGTTTAATGTTTTCCTTATTGTAGATGTGTCAACAAAAATGTTAGCATGTGCCAGAGATTTCTGTAGGTCTTTAGCTGACACTCTGGGATTCTTCTTTACCTCATGCAGCATTCTGCGCTATGCTCTTGCAGTCATTTTTACAGGACGACCATGCCTAGGGAGAGTAGCAACAGTGCTAAACTTTCTCCATTTGTAGACAGTCTGTCTTACCGTGGGCACATGAACATCAAGGCTTTTGGAGATACTTTTGTAACCCTTTCCAGCTTCATGCAAGTCAACAATTCTTGATCGTAGGTCTTCTGAGAGCTCTTTTCTGCGAGGCATGGTTCACATCAGACAGTGCTTCTTGAAACCAGTAAACCCAAAACAGGTGTGTGTTTTTTAAAGGGCAGGACAGCTGTCAGCAACACATCCAATATCATCACACTGATTGGAGTCAAGGTTGGCTCACTCCTGGCTCCAATTAGCTCTGGGAGAAGTCATTAAGCTAGGGCCTCACATACTTTTTCCTCCCTGCACTGTGAATATTTACATGTTATGTGCAATTAAACCATGGCAACATCTAATGTTTGTGTAGTATTATGTTCAGCAGACTGTGTTCTTCTATCGTTGTGACTTAGATGACGTTCAGAGCACATTTTATGCCCAATTCATGCAAAACTCCACGTAATCCCAAGGGGTTCACATACTTTTTCTTGCAACTGTAAAGCTGAGTATGAGCTAACCTTAGACCTGTGTTCAGGCTTACAGTAACTGGTAGCGCTGTCTGGTCTACCCTGCCTTTCGTCCACTGGGCCCACAGTGGAAGACTTGATTTACCCCAGTACTACAGGTGTACCACCTTATTGTTCCTCTATCTTATGAACAGCATTGTTGGGGTTAGGGTATGATCAGATCTAAGCATATATATCCTCACTGTAAAATGTTCTGAACTTTAATTCTGTGTTTGAAGAAAACAGTGACGGTTGACAACATGTCACTCTTTGGTTAATTTGAAGACTTGCATTTTGATATGAGACTAATGTGCACTGTTTTCTACATGTGTAACTCTTGGATTTTTATGAGGTGAGGGGAAACGGATGCCGCTCAAAACCAACCCCGGGAGTCAGGCTTTTTAGGTATATGGAGTGGCCTCAGAACCGCGCTATCCACGCCCTCTGATGTGTTTCGGCCCGTCCATCAAGGCTTGGTCATAGAGGCACCTCGGAAATTTACTGCAAATAGCTAAATTATTTTACAGTAATCCAGTAACATAGCAGATGTCAATGTGTAGGGCAAAGCAGCAGGTTCAGTTAATTTCCAGCCCTTCATTTACTTTTCCATTTGATCCTCTTCCATTTCATTCATCTATTGGTAGCAAAGAGAGGAAGCTCCGAGTAATTTTCAAGTTTCAACTAGGAGCTTGTATAGAGTTGACAATTTTTCTCGTCTTCCTGTAACAGCACTGGAAATCTACGAAGCACCTGCACTGTCACTTTGAAGGGGTGCCAGTAGCATGATCCTGGTTACTAATGTTGTCACTAAAGAGTATGTAACGCATAGCCCTTGCAAAGGTTTGCTTAAAAGTAAATAACCCCCCCAAACCATTCATCCTAGTAAATGAATCACCTTCTCTTTCAGTGGCTGTAGTTGTGTGGCCTGTTCCTGGAGTTCCAAGAGTTTCTGTTCATCACGATCGCGGGAAGAGGAAGATGATAGCTAATAAAAAAAGAGAAGAAAACATTTAATCTGTTGCAAAAGATTGGTTTTCACTGGACAAAAATATTTCACATAAATCATAAGCAAGAACTTTTTTTAAGCTACCAGTTTGTGGTTTGGCCATCCAATACTTGCAAAAAATAACTGGCCATCTTGACAAGCAATAGTAACGGCTTAAAAAGTGACACGTGAACATGTTAAAAAGAAACTTAACAAGACGTTCTCTGCTTCTTTGGCCCCACAATTTGTAGCAGCCTATAATTCCCTGAGAGATGGCCAAAATATCCCTGGTGTTACACTTCAAGCCCCCGTAATGTTATTTCCCAAGGAAGGGAAAGATCTTGCTCATCGTGCCACTTACCGGCCAATTTCCCATCTCAACGTTGGTCTAAAAATCGTCACAAAAATTTTGGCTACCAAACTGATCGCTCATATCCCCTTCCTGATCCACACTGATCAGTCTGGTTTCACTCCAGGCAAGGAAGGCAGGAACAACACGCAACGCGTACTGAACGCAATTCATTATTCCCAGACCTGTCATTTGCCTCTGGTGCTTTTATTAGTGGATCCGGAAAAGGCATTTGATAAGGTCGATTGGATTTTCCTGCAAGCCACTGTAGAACATATAGACCTCAGAGCCTCGGCCTTCTGCAATGGATTACCTCTCTGTACTCCATGCCTTCGGCTAGAATACGGGTTAATGATGTTCTCTCGGACGCCTTCTCAATCCATAATGGCACTCGCCAGGGCTGTCCCCTTTCACTGCTCATTTTTCTTTTAGGCCAAAAAGTCCCATTTTGGTCTCATCTGACTAGAGCACCTTCTTCCACATATTGCTGTGTCCCCCACATGGCTTCTCACAACCTGCAAACGGGACTTCTTATGGCTTCCTTGTTGCCACTCTTCCATAAAGGCCAGATTTGTGGAGTGCACGACTAATAGTTTTCCTGTGGACAGATTCTCTCACCTGATGTCAAGGTCCTACCTTTTCCCAGAGGTTATGTTACTCCATGTGCTGGCATCCATCTTGGATTTCTGCTGAGCATGGTAGGAATCTTTTATGCCTTCAGGTCTCTGAGGTCCATCCTCCAGAGGGGTGTGGCTGAGTACATATAAGCCTGTGATCCGCACATGCTCTTTGCACTTGTGTCTTTGTCTTGCTACAGTTCTGTGTATACTCTCGTGACTCTTCTGGTATCTGACTCGGCTTGTGACTAAGACCATTCTCTGTGTTTTCCTTCGATCTGACCTTCCGTTGTTGAACCCGGCCCGTGACCTGTGATTCTCTGTCTACTGTTCTGTACCGTTTTGTCCCGTTGTTTCGACCCGGCCTGCCTGACTACGCTATTGTCATTCTTACCAGCTACACGCCATTGGCGGCGGCCATTACCGCAGCCGGGGTGTCTCGGGGGCCGCGACCTGGTTCCTGGCTGCGTCAAGTCCATCCCCACCATCAGGGGCCCTGGTGAAGGGCAGCCTGGGACTTAGACTCCGCGCCCTGAGGGACTTCGGTCTGTTGGTGGTGGTTGTCGTCAGCCAGTGCGTTACCCTGCCACTAGGCCTACCTGTCCGTTCCACAGCCCTGCCCTGACACCTGAGCTGTGGATCTCTGCAGCTCCTCCATAGTTACCATGGGCCTCTTGGCTGCTTCTCTTATTAATCCTGCCCGGCCTGTCAGTTTAGGTGGATGGTCACGTCTTGGTAATTTTGCAGTTGTGCCATATGCTTTTCATTTTCAGATGATGGATTGGACAGTGCTCCATGAGATGTTCAAAGCTTGGGATTTTTTTTTTATACCTTAACCCTGCATTAAACTTCTCCACAACTTTACCCTGTCTGGTGTCTGGTGGGCTTCACAGAACAGCTTGCATTTATGCCGAGATTAAATTACACACAAGTGGACTCTATTTACTAATTAGGTGACTTCTGAAGGCAATTGGTTCCACTAGATTTTAGTTAGTGGAATCAGAGTAAAGGGGACAGGATACAAATGCACCCCACACTTTTCAAATATTTAATTGTAAAAAATTCGGAAAACCATTTATCATTTTCCTTCCACTTCACAATTATGTGCCACTTTGTGTTGGTCTATGACATAAAATCCCAGTAGGTTGTAACATGACAAAATGTGAGAAATTTCAAGGGGTACGAATACTTTCTCAAGGCACTGTACCACCAAATCTCAGCTTGCCGCTTATGCTGAGGATTTAATATTTAATATTTTTTATTACTTCCTTTTCGATTACGCTCCCATCCCTTTTAAGGGAATTACACAGATATGGCCAACTCTCTAATTTTAAAATAAATTACAATACGTCCAAGGCGATGGGCATTGAAATACCCCCTGCGATGAGACTTCAAACCAAGCTCTCACCTTCAAATGGACAACCTCTCATATACACTACTTGGGGACAAATATTCCCTGTTTCCTTTGCACGATTTTCTCACTAATGTTCCACCAACTCAAATCTGATCTCCAATGTTGGGACAGGGAGACGTTTACCTGGTTCGACTGGACTAATGTCTTAAAAATGAACGTGATGCAGCGTCTTCATTATCTATTCCAAACACTACCAGTAAAAGTCACACAGAGTTCCCTGAAAGACTTGAGGGTACAACTCCTTCACTTCATTTGGGCTGACAAATCAGTGAATTCGCAGATCCATATTGTTGCTGCCCAAGATCAGGGATTGCTTTCTGACCCTTTAAAATACTATGAAGCTTCACATCTGACTAGAGTTATGGAATGGTGTGTTACGCAACCGTTGTCACACTCTTTATCTAATTTTTTTTACTCTCTTAATTGACTGGAGCAAAATGCCCAACCTTCCTTTCTTATATCAATGGGATTTCAACACCTCCTTTACGCAGGCCCAGAAGGAGACAATCATTTGCTTCTCCCATAAAACTTCCCTGGCTAGTAGATACAAAGAGGGAGTCTATAAGATTCTCACACGGTGGTGCAGAATCCAAGCCAAACAGAACCGTATGTTTCCTCAGGTCCCTAATACCTGTTGGCACTGTGGGGAATCTGTGGGGACTCCGATTCATATCTTCTGGGAGTGCCAAAAATTAAAGGACTTCTGGAATGCGGTGGAAACATCAAATTCATAACCGAACAGGAGTGACTATCTTCAAAAACCCAGCTGCTTACCTTCCTGAATGTCATACCTCTAACTAGCAAGAAATTCAAACGCTCTTTACATAAAACACTTGCTCATGGCTGCGAGGACTTGTATTCTGGCATTATGGAAAAGTACAAGCCCCCCTGCTATAGCCCATTGGAAGGCGAGGATCAAAAAGATTCAAGAAATGGAAAATCTTACCAGAATATTGAAGCAAAGAGAGCACAAATATTGAAAGTTTTGGACTCCCTATTTCTTTTATAGAGATCAGACATAGCTTGCTTCTCAGCCCTGATTTGCATATGGAAGAAAATTCAACATCTTCCCAATTCAAGAGGGAGGGGAACCCTCCCCTCTTTCCCCCCCCCCCCCCTTTTCTCCCTTTCTCCTTGCGTCTCCCTTTTTTTTTTTTGTTCCTATTTCTCACTGAACCCACTGCTTATTCTCTGTATTATCCCATCTCTGCAGTCTACTGTTATAAGAGTGTTTTCTCTACATATAAAATATAAGACATGGCTTGGAATGTTTGTTATTGGTTGTTAACTGCTCCTAGGTATCATGCGCAATATCGCCGGGGGTTTACCCATCCACCCTGTATTTGTATATGTTAAGCAATGCTGCCATGATCTAAAGTACCCAGTGATCCATTTTTCACATGGGGCTGTTTAATGTTTCTTCGCTTATGCTCTGTATCGCATTTTTTAATTCACTGGACTACTAAATAAAGAATTTAAAAAAAAAAAAAACAAAAAAAAAAAAAAAACTTAAGCCAGGTATGGGAAACAGAATGGCTAAACTGCAATCTTTTTTGATGCCAGAACTTTTATGTCAAGGTTTCATAGCCATCTGTGACACAATTTGAAGACTTTTCTTTACTCCCTGTCCTTGTGACTCAAGGAAATGACAGTAGTATTAGAGCAGTGGTTCTTAACCTGGGTTCGATCGAACCCCAGGGGTTCGGCGAGTCAGTCTCGCGGGTTCGGCGGAGGTGAAGACCCACACCCGACTCATATGATTCGTGCAGTAAATATTCATTATTACGGTATGTTTTTGTTTTTGTGTGAAAATCATGTTTTAATGGTTTTGTTCTTTGTTCTTAACGGTTTTGTTCATTTTGTGCACCTATGTATAAATATATACCTAAATATATACCTATGTTTTGAATTTTAAAAATCATATTTTATTTTTCCAATTAAGAAGGGTTTGGTGAATGCGCATATGAAACTGGTGGGGTTCAGTACCTCCAACAAGGTTAAGAACCACTGTATTAGAGTCATCAGAAAAAAAAAATTTGCTGAAGTTGAACTTTTAAAAAAAACAGTATTGACCCTACTGACCTGCTCTGCTGCTGCCTGCTCTCGAGCTTTCTTCAGAAGCTGCCTTAGGTTTTCGGTCTCATCTTGGAAACTTTTCCTCAGCTCTTCCTGCTCTTCCTCTGCCCGCTGCCGCTCCTGCTGAAATTTCTTCTTCCTCTCTGTTAGGCTCTGTGTCACAAAACTGGAGGTTATTGTAGATACAAACATACATGGTTCATGTAGTCTGAACAATTTAAAAAAATGGATGCCATCCCAGATGCCAAAAAAGATACAGACCTATACAATATTCTATAATACCTGCAGCTTCCTAAATGCCACACAAACCTTGGCAAGTCAAACTGAGCATATGTAGAATGGTACATAAGCATGGGTTACCGTCAGTGAAAACTGCATTTCAAAACCTTCCAAGACTCCTAGTGGTTGTTCTAGTGATGGACAGACTCATTATACAATAGGGAGGTTTTGGAAATGAGATGGGTAATGTTTGTTTTAAACTAGTCTGCTGTACTAAATACATAAAGGAAGCAAGGATGAATCTCCCCATGGAGAAAAAGGCAGTAAGAAAAGCCCTGACAGAAGTTCTAACCTTTCTCCACGCTATCCAAAGCTAAAAGCAAAGTTTTGGTGAGAGTTGGGTTTTAAAGGGGTAGTAAACCACTTCCTTTTTAAAAAAAAAAAAAAAAAACTGCAAGACAGTGTCATAGCTAGTATGCATTACACTACTTACCTTAAAACAAAGCCCTTCAGTGGTGTTTTGTCACTGCTGACAGTGCTTGCATCTTCCCCCGGTCCTTCTTCCAGGTTGGTGGGCTACGGTGGCTTGAATGGTCCAGCCACAATGATGCCACTCCTACCCATGAGTCACTTTCTACGCCACTCAGCTGCCATTCCTTCAGAAGGCATGCGCCGGTGCACGTTTAGGAGATATTTACAGTTCCTACAGGTAAGCCATATTATAGGCTTAACTGTAGGTACAAGGTAAAAAAACAACTTTACTACCACTTTAAATGTGGCCTGTGATGCAGGCACCTAATACATCATCCACATGAAGTACTGATAAATGGTGTATGACATAATGGAGGTCTGGCACAAATGAGATCACCTTTTCTAAGTTTCGCTTCTCCACCTTCAAGTCAGAGATTTCTTCTTCCAGAGCCGCCAATCGCAGCTCCAGGTTCCGCCGGCTTTCCTTCTCATTTTTGGCTTGATTCTTGGTCTGCTCTGATGTTTCTTTCACTTCTGAAAGAGATGTTATATGTAAGATTCGTTAAAGTATATGCAAGGATGAAGGGCTTACACTACTACTTTCACTGAACGTGGAGAGGTCGCTCACCTATGAGCTGTGCCCGTAGAGAGGAGAGCTCAGCCTGACACTTCCCTGCCTCCTGCTGGGCCGCCATTAGCTGTGTCCTCTGCTCCATCTCCCTCTTCTGGTAAGCGGTGACCTCCAGCTGTAGACGGGATACTTGGCCAGTTGCAGCTGACAACTCCTCTGCCACCTTGGCCTGTGACAAATAAGGGGTGCAAACCACTCACTAATATATCAAATCTAGAAAACAGTGTTGTTGCCTATAGCAACCAGCAATAAAAGGTCTGTCCACTAAAGCTTTAGTCTTGGATGGAAACTAGTGGACTAAATCATCACCTGATTTTTTTTTTTTTTTTTTTTTTTTTTAATCTTCGGTACTAAAGCAAGGAATTCTGAGCTTTGTTACTCCCATCTCTGTCCTCTGAGAAGTCTCACTTCTGCTGCCATCTTCATAATTTAAAGTAAACATACCATGGAAGATATACAGGGGGCTGCATTAATAAACATTTTTTAAATGTTAGATGCCTAGTGCCTATGCTGTAGCTTTAATACAAAGTCTCTAACCTGGAGCAAATATGCAGATCATGAAACAATAAGTATACTTGTCCAGGATCACCAACTTGTGTATTAAAGTATTTAATCAAAAGGGTCACCACGACAGCAAGGCAGCTGAGATAGGGGTCAATAATGGTGGAGGAAGGGGTCAATCAAGGCAGAGGAAGGGGTCAATGACAGCCCTATGTTTCTCTGTAGACAGGGTAATATCTAGCAGTCAGAAATACACCACCTGGTAATGCCTGTGATGGAGAGGTAGATAGCAGGCAGAACGGGGACTCAAATGCTGGTGATGGTTAAAGTGGTTGTAAAGGCAGAAGGTTTTTTTTACCGTAATGCATTCTCTTCTGTGATCAGCTTCCCCTCCAGCCCCCCTTAAATACTTACTGAAGCCTGATCTTGACCCAGCTCTGTGTCAGAGCAGCGTTTCTCTCCTCTTTCCCATCACTGGACATGGAGGCAGCAGTCAATTACAGCTTGTGAGGAAAGAGCGGGGAGTGGGGCAGAGCCACGCTGTGTGTGTGTTTCAATGGAGTGGCAAGCAGCTTGCTATGGGGGCATTCTGCATGGGGAGGAGCCGGTAGAGGACCCCAGAAGAGAAAGAACAGGGCTGCTCTATGCAAAACCATTGCATAGAACAGGTAAGTATGACACGTTTGTTATTTTAAAAAAAATACCTTTACAATCACTTTAAGGATATAAGAAATCAGCCAATGAGTCAAACATTTCACCTTCCAGCCAAAACTAGAATCGGATCAGCTAAAGGACTAGTCCTTCAAATGTTTATACTCTAAACTGAAAAAAATACTCCATCTACCAGCGGCTTGTATTTTTTTTTTTTTGGTCCATCCAACTGAACACAATATTGTTTTATTCAGGAAAGACTCCTTAGCTGGTTGTGCATTAGCTAACAGTCAATTAAATATTATAAATATGTTGGTATGCTTTTATTTAAGAGGCTCGTTTTGAAGAAAGCTTAACCCACCTTCGCTTCAGAATCCTTTACACAGTACAGCTTCTGAATTAGCCCTGGCACCTGCCCTTTGGTCTCCAGCTGAGTAATAGGGATGTGGTGTCTGTTCTGGGCTGCTGACTGTAAATAATAATGTACCTTAGATGGGGATTACAGGGTGGGCTTGAGCTGTGGCTTTTGGAGACATAGCAAGTCATAGCAAGGAAAACTGATCAATATACAGTTTCGAAATCTTTACCATTTTGCCTGCAAAAAGATTTGTAATTTTGTGATGCACTCACCTCTGCCAGTCAGTTTCATCATTTTGCTACTCTCTGGTTTAACACTACTGTTCCTATACATAGGACAGAAATGAGGAGGCCAAATCATCATCTAATGAGAGGGTTGAAGGCAGAAAGGCTGCCTATTAACAAGGAAAGAAGTGTGACATTTCCTGGCTCCTATGTGACAGAGGTGAGTACACACGATTGCCTGGCAAGACTTGCAACTCCTTTGGCATGTAAAACAGTAAACATATGTTTTTCTGCAAGGTATTTAGCTGCCTGAAGTTTAGCTTTATTGTTTTAACACCCTATTGTATAAGGTTTACTTACTTGCCATCGTTCCAAAAAAAAAACAAAACACAAGCACACACACAATAATAAAAGTTTTGATTTGCATGATAAGAAAATTCTGTTCTGGAATATTACATAAAATAAGCAGAAAAGCTAAATGCAGAGAGAGAAAGAGAAGAGCTCCCCAAAATCCTCACCTGGTATGTGCCCTCATCTATGTGCAAAGCATGCTGGGAAAAAGAAAGCAGCATTGGTGAGAACAAGCCAGCCAATCAGAGTGTAAGAAAGATAAGAGCAGCTTTTTCTGAAGGGGAAAAAAAAAACAAAAAGGAGGAAGAAGGAGGGATGTACCAGGACCAGACAGAGGTTCATGAACTTGGAAACCACTATTATTTAATACAAGCAGATTAATGTTGCCTTTATATTCACTTAGATTATAAAGAGCAGAGATTGTTAGTTTGCATCCAGCCACCAAACACAGAGAATATAAAAAGTACAAATATATATATCCTATTCAGCCTGCAAGAACATCAGTTATCTTAGCCACACTAAACATTGTGAATCCTCCACTGTTGGATATTGTGCTTGAATACAGTGGCACTGCTGATCGGCAGTTGTATCCGACGGGATGCAGTCACTGTTCAAATGATAAAAATCAGCTGAGCTGGGTGGAAAATTTAGCCAACTTTTGATGAGGCAGGTGGTGCTTACAAGAACACTCACAGCTTGAATTCCTTATCAACTTAAATCTAAGCCATCTATGGCCAGCCTTTGATTTACCAACAGCTAAGCAATATAGGCCTGCCTGTTTAGAGATTGAATGAATTGCTTAGGCAGCATAAACATCATTCATTTTTTTTTTCATTCAACCAGCTGGCTGAATGAAAAAAAATCCCCGATTTCCCCATCTACACACTCAATTGGATGGGAAAATCACTCCCGCTGGGGTAGTGTATTCTGATAGCAGGTGGACTTCCCTGCCATCAGAATACACTGACAGCACTTCTGGCTGCGCTGACCCTGCAGAAGTTTTCTACCAGGCTGGTTGTGCAGTTGTTGATTGGTAGATCAACTTCTGTACAACCAGCCTGCCCAAACATAGATCAAAATTTGCCCAGCCTCTGCTGAACTTTAGCTTTAGGGTAAACTCACGGAAAACAACTAAATACACAGATGGTATACATGCATGAGAGATGTTTTAACTGCCAAAGGATTTTTAGTATTTCTGTATATTTATTCAATTAACTGGAGACCTGACTTTTCTGTACTGCAGTTAGGCAATACAATTCTGTTCTCTTGTCCTTGTGAACACACTAGTACTGAAGCACACCTGATTGGCTCCTAGTGCTGCCTTCCTTCTCTCAGTTTGAGCCCTGTACAAGGGATTGTAAAAGGCTAATACCAAGTCAGGTAATCAAGGAGTTACACTAGTTACTGGTTAGAAAACAAAAGAACACACTTTTTTCTTTTTTTTTTTTTCTAACACCACACACCTGCATGAGTTGGTGTCTCTTTTTTTTTCCCATCTGTCTGGAGTCAGCTTTAAAGACTACCTTCTGAGTCACAGGAAAACAGGAGGTTTGGCCTAACTCTGGCTATTTGCAAGCTTGTTCTACATCAGTGTTTCCAAGTACTGCACCCAGTGACAGCCAGGCAGCTAGAATTTTCACAAGAAGTGCAGTGA